ATAAGACTGCAAAAAATTTCAATTGTTTATAACTTTAACAAAAAAATTTTTTTTGTCCTAAAAATTTCAGGGACTTATTTTTACCATGTAAGGAGTCAAAAGAAATGATTTTTGATTTAAAAAAAAATTTCTGAATTTTAGGTGATCCGTTTGAGAAATTCTGACCCATTTCCTTATTTTTCATATAGATTTCGAAAAAAAATGTTTCGGACAAAAAAAAATTTTCAATGAAAATTTCCCATAGAATGCCCCATTTACATTTTTGATTTCTTTATTTTAACTTTTTTTCCTTTTAGTATTAATTGAGACTATCTCTCATAATTTTTTTCAATTATTTTTTTTTTTTGCATGTTTACGAGTTATGAATTTTTCAAAAATTCAAAATCTTAATGAATTTTTATTTTTGAATCTTCATATAACTTCCTTAAGAATGCATCAATTTTAAAAGTTTTCGTTTTTTAAATAATTGTCCGTTTTTATGTGAATTTTTCAAATTGGTGCAAAAAATTCTAGAAAACTAATTTACTATATTTTTTGCAATTTAAGGGCGCACTCACACCTTCTGGCTGCCTGCCTGCCTGCAGGAGTTGTCATGGCAACGTGCAGGAGTAAGAGAGAGAGAAAATTCAAATTTGAATTTACTATCTCTGTTACTCCTACACGTTGTCATGACAACTCCTGCAGGCAGACAGGCAGCCGAGAGGTGAGAGTGCGGCCTAAAGATTAAAATTATACTTTTCATATGTATTCTTCAATTTCTTTTTAAATTTTCAAAAAAATTACTTCTTTTTACAAAAATTTTAAGCCAGGTCCAATTATGGTCAAACAAATTCTTTTTTTTTCACATATTTTAAAAATATATTAACAGCGATATTTAAAAAAAAAATTCACACTCTAAATGTTAACTGACGTTATTATTATAGTTTATGATATGCATACTTTTTTTTAAATGTTTATAATGCTTTAATATAATACTTTCTAAGTTAAAATGTTGTAAAGTTAAATTTAATGGATTTTGACATTAACATAAATATTGAAAAAAAGAACAAAATGTTATTACAATTTTTTTTTCACGATTTATTAGTATTAGTGAGAAACGAGTTTTTTTTGTATTCGCGCGTATGGACAAACAGACAGATGTTAACGTAAAACTATGATTATAGATCATAAAAATAAAAATCCTGTTTATGATTCATATAATATATATAAAGAATATGTCAGTTTTTGTCAACATTTAAAAATAATTATTTGATTATCTTAAAATTAAAAAAAAAACATACTAGAATAAAAAAATGAATATTTGAATTAATAAAATTGGATTTTTAAATTAAAAAATTTTTTTTTAAAAAACAATTTCCATCTATCAATGTGTAAATTATTACTTTTAATGTAATTGTATAATAAATATGATTGAGTTACTATTTTCTCGAACTAAAAAAATCCATTTGAAGAAATGAGTAATTTAAAAACAATCGTTTCGAAAGAACACGTGGGCAGAATGTATACCTATATATATATATATATATATATATATATAAATAAAAGCATGCTTAACTAAAGTTCTTCTTGTTCAATTAAATTGAAGGTAAGGCAAAAAAAGACTATTCTTAATATTATATACTATATGTATATATACAAATGAGCCAAGGTATAATATTGTATAAACTATTAAGCTTCTAAAGACTATTTTCCACCAATATGTTTTGAAACTTTTCTTACAATGTCAGTGACTTTGAGCGTGGTAAGTGTTACTGATAAAAAAAAAAATGTTTTTTACTTACGCACATATAACATTTGTACAAATATAACATAACGTCACATTTATCGCAGTGATACTTTTCGGTATATGTTAAAATTTTGGCAATTATGTATTTTTTTTAATTTAAAATTTAAAGAATTAATTGCATAAAAGAAAAATTTTAATTGACATTCTATGCAACATCCGCACCATATCGGATCCGCTATTTTGAATTTTGAAAATATAACCTTAGATTCGTTATCAGCGACCCCAAAAATCCCCTAGATACCAAGTTCCATAAAAATCTGAACAATTTTTTGAAAATTCGATCCGCCATTTTGAATTTTGCAAATCTGACCTCAATTCCGTAATCAGACATCCCAAAAACTCCCTGAGTAGGTAACACGTATCAATTGAATCTGATAAATTTTTAAAAAGTCCGCCATATTGGATCCGCCATTTTGAATTTTTGAAAACTGACATAAAATTCGGAATGATTATAATGTTTGCGTCTATAGTTTTATGCCTTTTTGAGCTTTTGAACAACTTGAAGACATAGTTTAATCCCTTAAATCTTATTTTTTGCTTGTCAATTTTTTATGATTTTCGTATCAATTTTAAAGATTTTGAAAAATTTCAATTTTTTCCATGAATACAAAAATTAAAAAATAATGTAATATTGTCAATAATTGTTTATTTTTTATTTTTTATAATGGAATATGGTTTGAGATTATGAAAAAATCTTTAAAAAAATTCTATTACATATTACATATAGAAGAGTATTACAAGAAGATTGTACACTTGACTATACTTGATTAAATTCCCCCTTGGTTGTTTCAAACAAAATTGAAAAGCATGAAAAATAACTGAAATTAATTTGATAGAATTTTTATTTGATAAAATCTTATTAGATAGAATTTTCTTTTAGTCGAATTTATATTTTATTAAAAATTATTTTTTCACAAAATTACCATGTATAATCGAATTTTCTACAATATAGAATTTTTACTGAATTAAAAATTCATTTAACAGAATATATCTATTTGAATTTTCATTTAACAGAACTTTCATTTGTTTGAATTAATTTTTTTGACAGAAACTTTTGGACTTGAATTTAAAATTGACCAATCAGAAAAATTATCCAGAAAATTTTTGATTGGTTAATTTTAAAATTCGCGCCGATTTGTTTCTATCGACTATTATTATTCGAAACAAATTTGATAAAATAGAAATAATTAAATGGATTTTCGGTTATGGAAAAAATACTGGAAATATCAAAAATCGGAAAAAAGGAAAATTCTTTCAAATAATAATGCGAAAAATTGTAAATTCAGTGAAATAAATGTTTGACTATTATATAAAAATTCTGTAAAATCGTTTTAATGGAAATTTTGTCAAAAAAAAAAAAAATAATTTGAAGGAATAAAAATTTTGCAACAAGAAAATTGTATCGAATAAAATTCTATAAAAATTCTAACAAATTAATTCATAAATCTCATAAAATTTGATTGATTGAAAGAAATTTTTTTCTGAATGTAAATGGGAAATTTTCATTGAAAATTTTTTTTGTCCGAAATATTTTTTTTCGAAATCTATATGAAAAATAAGGAAATATGTATTTTTTTATTTTTTTATTTGATGAAAATGAAGGAAGTTATGATTTTTTGAAATTTAACGTCAACGAAGAAAGTGTGTTTTTGGAACATTTTTTAATATATTTTACTAATAAATTAAAAATTATGCTATGTATGAAATTTGTTCATTTTTTCTCAAATTTTTCAAATATGTGCTAAAAAATAACGTACCTATAACAGAAGCAACAAAAAAGTTGAAATTAAACTTATAAAGTGAGTTTTCTCAAAAAAGACACTTTCGATTTTTAATTTTTTTTTTGCATTACAATCTCTGATGACTGAAGAATTTTTTCCCCTATCTGCGAAAGTGGTATTTTTTGTTTTTAAATTACTATTTATATTTTTTTTATAGTACGGCTCACAGAATTTAAGCATTTTTTCTACAAATATAACCTTTTTCCATTAACATTCATTTGTTTTTTTTTTTAATTTTCATAAAAACATACTAAAAATCGTTGCGTCAAGCTTAAAAATTGTAAATAGTAATTTAAAAACTAAAAGTACCACTTTCGCAAATAGGGGAAAAAATTCTTCAGTCATCAGAGATTGTAATGCAAAAAAAAAATTAAAAATCGAAAGTGTCTCTTTTGAAAAAACTCACTTTATAAGTTTAATTTTAACTTTTTTCTTTTTTGTGTTATAGGTACGTTATTTTTTAGCACATATTTGAAAAATTTGAGAAAAAATGAACAAATTTCATATATAGCATAATTTTTAATTTATTAGTACAATAGATTAAAAAATGTTCCAAAAACATAGTTTCTTCGTTGACGTTAAATTTCAAAAAATCATAACTTCCTTCATTTTCATTAATTAAAAAAAATAAAAAAATACGTATTTCCTTATTTTTCATATAGATTTTGAAAAAAAATGTTTCGGACAAAACAAAATTTTCAATAAAAATTTCCCATAGAATGCCCCAAATATAGATCTTGTTACATACTATGTATATCATTCAGTTAACAGAAACAGTGATATGAACCTTATAAATTTATTTAAAATAAAATTTTTGTAGGATATTAACTAACTTTGACAGTTATTAAGTATAGCTTTACCAGTGGGAATAATTAATGTCAAATCTGATTTAATACTATGAGATTGACTCATGTAGCATTGAACATTGCAGTTTTTTTTAGCACTACAATTCTACCATATAAAGAAAAAAACATTGTCGCTAAGAATGATTTTCGTGTATCATGTTTTGTGAATATCGTCCTAAGCGACAAAATGAATTTTTGCTTTCTACAGTTGAATTGATAATCATGATTTAAGATAAAATTGAAAACTTCATTGAAGATATCTTTATCTAATTAAGATGCAAGAATGTCACAATTTTAGCAAAAAATTTTTTTTTTTTTTTTTTGATAAAGATGAACAAAAATTGTCAATGAAGATATTCATCAATATCATCAAAATCGAGATCAAAATAAACGATTCCAAACTTTAGACCATCAACAAAGAAGAAGAAGAAAAAGAAGAATTCTTAAACAAAGAGAATTTATGAATTTTCAATTCATTAACCAATCTCAAGATCATTTTCTCAATCCGGATGTTCTTTTTTTTTATCTTTTTTTAAGGAGAAATGGGAATTTACAATGCATAAAAATATTCATGCGCAACCAACATACCTGTAATATGTTTACTTTTTTTCTCCCCCTCCAAGTGATCGTCGTTGAGAGAGAAAAAGAGAGAGAAAGAGAGAGAGAGCAATAATATTTGATGACAATATAACAGCAACGTCGACGACCCGCTCAAATCGCTTCTATTTATTATCTTGCGTGCGTCCAAATTGTCCAACAGAAAACCGGGCAATGGACGACGATTGTAGAAACGTCAAAACACGAGTCGCGACAATACTGTTTTGTGTCACCTAATGAAGACACACTTTATGCTCGGACAACACGACCTCGATATCTCGTTCCGTTTCATTCGTAACGATTCGGTTTTAACACACAACTTGTTTTCATTCACGTTTAATGGTGATTGAAAAAAAGAAAAATAGAAAAAAAAAATTTATTCAACACAGCACAGAAAGATAAACGTGTGTGAGAGAGAATAAAAAGAGAGAAAGAGAGAGAGAGAGCTGTTTGTGATTGCGCGCCTTTACGTCTGATTTAATACACAAATGAGATTCCACAATGTGGTGATGATGATGATGATAATAATGATGATTTTTGTTTTTTAACAGGAGGACCTGCGCTCACTCGCGACGAGGAATGCGATTGTCGTATAAGCGCGCACACGACGTTGGTCGCTGCTCGCCTCTTGCCAGGATCTCAGATCACAGCGACGTCATTCAGCTGGAAGTTAACTCTATAATAATGGTGTTCTACATTTTCAGGGTTATTGATTTGCTGCCATCTGTTGTCACAGAATTTGTTTTATGTGAAATAAAGGTATGTATTCTAAGAATTGTTGTTGGGTAAAGAAGATTTCTGTAGATTTATAATTTTACTTTGGATAAGTAGATTTTTTAGTACATGAAATTGCTGTTGATAAAGAAGACTTTTGTTGAGTTACTTGATGCAATAGAATGTAGAGGGAAAGTGTTAAATTAAAAGAATTAATGGAAGTTAAAAAACCAAAAATTCACATTTTAGCTGATATTTCTAAAAATTAATGAAAAATAATATATAATTTATAATTATTTACAATTATATCGATTTATTGCAATGCAAGGAACACTATTATTTTATATTTAAACTTGAATTTAAATAAATACAAAAATTTTCAGCTAAAATGTGAATTTTTTATTTTCTAACTTTTATTAATTTATTAAATTTACCTCAAATGTAAACTTTATATATTCTAATCGATTCGTTTTCATGCAAAGAATACAATTAATTATTTTCAATACCAAAATTTAAAAGGCAGCGCTACAAATAATCAGCAGCGCCTTTCAAGTAACATATTATTTGAAAAAATTAATTAATATCCCAAATCATATTTTTATTTAATGTAAAAATTTTTAATAAACAAACAAAGGCAGACAAAAAATTATAACAGCATATTCATATTATAATATAATAAAATATCTATTATTATGTTATTATTATATAAAAACAAACATCGGTTGTAATTATTTTTTACATTTTTATATTTATTTCTTAATCGTTACATTAAACGTAGAAATGTAACGAAATTTTATAAATTCAGTACGTATCATATGGTTAAACTTCGCCCGAGCGAGCGTCAGCGTTCGAGGAATACGTCGCTAGTTTTTATTATAAATAAACAATTAAATATTAAATTAGGATAGATAATAAATTCACATTTTAATCAATTTTTTCCTTCTATTATTTTAAATCTAAAATAATTAAAAACCTGAATAACGAGTTTCAAGCAAAACCGCGTCAAATTTAAAAAAATGCATCCGCCATACTGGTTCCGTCATTTTGAATTTTAAAAAAGTAACATCAGATTTGTAATCAGCGAGCCCACAAACCCCCGAGTAGCGATTTTTAAAGCGATACCGAAAGATTTTTTTAAAATTCGACCGCCATATTGAAACGGCCATTTTAAAAAACGGACACCGGATTTGTAATCAGTGACCCAGAAAAACCACGAGTAACTATTTCGAGATAAATACTTTAAGTTTTTTCAAAGGTCGTCGGCCATATTGGATCCGCCCTTTTGAATTTTGAAAAACGGACACCGGATTCATAATCAGCAACACCAAAAATCTCCGAGTAACGATTTTCAAGCGAATAAGTTGAAGTACATTAAAAAAGTTGTCTGGAAAATGAAAAAATTCCTTACAAACTCAAATAAAATTAACCAGCATGTCTCTATTACTTTTTAACTTAAAACAACACGTAATAGCTTCTAAGAATCCTACCAATTAAACCAAAATTGCAGTAGACTAAGAATAATCAATTTTATTACATTTTTTGGGATAGAATTTGTTCCTGGAAAATAAAAAAATTTCCTTACAAATTCAAAAAAAATTAATCAGCATGTCTCTATTATTTTTTTACCTTAAAACAACACGTAATAACCTTCAAAAAAACCCACCAATTGAACCTAAATTGCAGTAGACTAAAAATAATCAATTTTATTCCATTTTTTTAAATATAATGTTCTCCTGGAAAATGAAAACAAGTTGTAAATTCAGATGTTCATTACATGAACATTTTGCTTCCTCTTTACAATCACCAAAAATATTCAATTTTTCTTAAGCAGACGATTTTATTGCATATTCTTGCACAAAATACACCGAAAAGCGTAGAAAAAAATTGACACCCAGATCCGAGTAGAGGAAGACCCTTTTTATGACCAAAAACGCATCCAAAAGCATAAAAAACTTACCAAAAAAATTCAATTTTTCTTACCCAGACGATTATATTGCATATTCTTGCACAAAATACACCGAAAAGTGTAGAAAAAAATTAACACCCAGATCCGAGTAGAGGAAGACCGTTTTTATGACCAAAAACGCATCCAAAAGCATAAGAAACTTACCAAAAAAATTCAATTTTTCTTAGGCAGACGATTTTATTGCATATTCTTGCACAAAATACACTGAAAAGTGTAGAAAAAAATTGACACCCAGATCCGAGTAGAGGAAGACCGTTTTTATGACCAAAAACGCATCCAAAAGCATAAGAAACTTACCAAAAAAATTCAATTTTTCTTAGGCAGACGATTTTATTGCATATTCTTGCACAAAATACACTGAAAAGTGTAGAAAAAAATTGACACCCAGATCCGAGTAGAGGAAGACCCTTTTTATGACCAAAAACGCATCCAAAAGCATAAGAAACTTACCAAAAAAATTCAATTTTTCTTAGGCAGACGACTTTATTGCATATTCTTGCACAAAATACACAGAAAAGTGTAGAAAAAAATTAACACCCAGATCCGAGTAGAGGAAGACCGTTTTCATGACCAAAAACGCATCCAAAAGCATAAGAAACTTACCAAAAAAATTCAATTTTTCTTAGGCAGACGATTTTATTGCATATTCTTGCACAAAATACACTGAAAAGTGTAGAAAAAAATTGACACCCAGATCCGAGTAGAGGAAGACCCTTTTTATGACCAAAAACGCATCCAAAAGCATAAAAAACTTACCAAAAAAATTCAATTTTTCTTACCCAGACGATTTTATTGCATATTCTTGCACAAAATACACAGAAAAGTGTAGAAAAAAATTAACACCCAGATCCGAGTAGAGGAAGACCGTTTTTATGACCAAAAACGCATCCAAAAGCATAAGAAACTTACCAAAAAAATTCAATTTTTCTTAGGCAGACGATTATATTGCATATTCGTGCACAAAATACAGTGAAAAGTGTAGAAAAAAATTGACACCCAGATCCGAGAAGAGGAAGACCCTTTTTATGACCAAAAACGCATCCAAAAGCATAAAAAACTTACCAAAAAAATTCAATTTTTCTTACCCAGACGATTTTATTGCATATTCTTGCACAAAATACACCGAAAAGTGTAGAAAAAAATTAACACCCAGATCCGAGTAGAGGAAGACCGTTTTTATGACCAAAAACGCATCCAAAAGCATAAGAAACTTACCAAAAAAATTCAATTTTTCTTAGGCAGACGATTTTATTGCATATTCTTGCACAAAATACAGTGAAAAGTGTAGAAAAAAATTGACACCCAGATCCGAGTAGAGGAAGACCCTTTTTATGACCAAAAACGCATCCAAAAGCATAAAAAACTTACCAAAAAAATTCAATTTTTCTTAGGCAGGCGATTTTATTGCATATTCTTGCACAAAATACACTGAAAAGTGTAGAAAAAAATTGACACCCTGATAAAATGTGAATTTTTGATTTTTTAACTTTCATTAATTCTTTAAATTTACCTCAAATGTATACTTTATATATCGATCGATTCATCTTGACCTAAGGAATAGAATTATTTCATATATAAACTTTAATTTAAAAAATCACAAAATTTTTTAACCAAAATGTGAATGGTTGATTATTTAACTTTTATTAATTCTTTAAATTTACCTCAAATGAATACTTCATATATATCGATCGATTTGTCTTGACCTAAAAATACGATATTATTATATATAACCTTAAATTTTTCTATTTAAAAATTTTTTCGATTAAAAAAAATTTTTTGGAAAAAAGACCATAAAATTTTTTTTTTGGAGTATTTTTCAAAATCCGTTAGTCAGATTTGAGATATTAATATGATAAATGAGCCTACTAAATTTTATCTAAATCCATTAAAACCTGTTAAAGTTATCTTCTGAACAAAAAAGGGATACACACGCACATATAATATATTTCGATAAAGAAAAAAATTGGTTTCCGCCACTTTGAAAAGTTTTATAAACGAAAGGACTACAAAGCTTCCTCCACGAGGAAGCAAAATTACATACAAATTCAAAAAAAATTAATCAGCATGTCTCTATTATTTTTTTATTTTAAAACAACACGTAATAACCTTCAAAAAAACCTTCCAATTGAACCTAAATTGCAGTAGACTAAGAATAATCAATTTTATTCCATTTTTTTTTAATAGAATGTTTTCCTGGAAAATGAAAAAATTACATACAAAATCTCTATTTATTTTTTTACCTTAAATCATCACGTAATAACCTTCAAATAAACCTACCAATTGAACCTAAATTTTAGTAGTTTAAGAATAATCAATTTTATTCCATTTTTTAAAATAGAATGTTTTCCTGGAAAATGAAAAAATTCCATACAAATTCAAAAAAAATTAATCAGCATGTCTCTATTATTTTTATACAATAAAACAATTATTTTTTTTTTTTTAAATTGAAGAATAATCTGCTTTTTAGTTATTATTTTTAACAACATTGAGATAAGTAATTTGAAAAATTCTCCAAAAACTGGTTTGTTAAAAGTGTTTTTGTAAAATTCAATTTATATCTGTTTTTTTTTTGATAGAAAAGAATAATTGTTGATTTAAAAAATTGAAAACTAATTCATTTTTTTAATATTACGTTTCACAATTTTTAAATTGGTAAATTTCAAAATTAGAAATAAACTGTTTTTTTCAGAGATTTCTTGAAAAAAACATAAGAAGTATTAAATAATTAGTTATTAAAAAAATTGAAGAATTATTCAATTTTTAAACAAATATTTTTCACAACTTTGAAATTTGCAAATAGCAAAATTAGGAAAAAACTGCATTTTTGTATGTTTTTTTTAAAGTAAATAAACAACAACAATTTATTGTTTAATTAGTAATAAACAATTTTAATTATTATTTATAATAATAGTTATTTATCCTGGTCTTTCCAAAAATGGCCTACATATAAGCAATTCGTGTATTTTTCCTTACTTGTGACAACCAACTTAAACATTGTTTAAAAAACTTTTCAAACGCAAAATTTTGAATTTTCCTCACATAACAGACAGAGTCTATGTTATTCTGAACATTTTCCAAAAGGTTTTTTTAAAAAATATTTAAAATTTTGTTTTTCACATACGTGAGAAGTTTGCGTGTCATGCGCCATGATTTGTGACGTCACGAAGGTTCAAATGCTCTTAAGAGCCTCACAATTTTTAAAGAAAAAATAAAATAATATTAGGAATTTTCTATAGCATTTTGCGTAAGTTAATTCAGGCGAAGAATTGAGATTTAAAAAATTGTATACCAAATTGTGTCCAACAATTCTTATTGTTTAAAGAAATATTTAAATAATTGTTTAAATTCACGAATTTTGAAAACATTTTGTATTCGCTTGAAAATTTTTATTTAGGGATATTGGTGTCACTGATTGCATGCACTGAAAAAAAATTTAGTGTTTGCAATAAAATTGTTTTGTTAGGTAATTTTGGTTCCTGTAACCAAATTTAGATTAGCTGAAACAAAGTCGTAGATTTATCTCAATCAAACATTTGGTTAGGCCAACAAAATTATTTGGTTGAACATTTTTAAATTCCAACCAAAATTTGGTTACGACAACAAAATATTTTCGTAAACACAACGAAATAGTTTGGTCCAAAATACCAAATGTTTGTTTTGTTGTCCTAATTAAAATTTGGTTACGACAACCAAATAATTTAATTCACTCTCAGCTCATACCTTAAGAGAACAGTTAGTTGAAATCTCTCACAATAATGGCTAGTCCAGTGGTCAGAGCTCCCGACTTTCAGTTTTAAAACAGAGGTTCGATCCCAGGCGGAGATGAGATTTTTCAAAGTCCACAATTGTTTCAATTGGATAAATATAAATTCAATGTTAAATTGGATAATAAATAAATAATGAAATAAAAAAAAAGAAGAAAAGAAATAAGGTAGAATAAAATTTTTAATTTTACAAAAAAAACTGTTTGTTTGATCGACCAAACATTTTTGTTGACCTAACAAAAAAAATTTGGTTGCGCTAACTAAACATCAACTAAACTCAACCAAATTTTTTGGTTCACTCAAACAAATAGTTTGGTTGCTTAAATACCAACAAAATTTTTTTGTTGGCTTAACCAAATTTTGGTTGCTCTGACTAAACATTTTTCTCAGTGATGTTTCACTGTATTTTCAGTCAGTTTTTAAAAAATCATATTGGTGTATTTACTTTCAAAAAAGGGTGTTTCTCATCGATGCAATACTTTTAGCTCCTATATTGTTTAGTTTATATTTGAATATAATTCATCCGCCATTTTTGATTCGACCTTTTTAAATTTTAAGATTCTGATGCCAGATTTTTATATCACTGTCCGAAAAAAATATTTCTTTTTTTCTAAATACAAATCGGCATAGAGAAATGCACAAGCTTACCTATAGTTTTTGAAAAAAAGCGTGTTTCTCATTATAATTGATTTTTAAATAAAAAAAAAACACAAAAGAAAAAATTTTTAATGGAACTACGATAAGACAATTCAAAATCACTTTTTCATTTGACATACAATGTTGTAATTCGTCATATACATTTGTATGTACATTACACCATGTATTATCTTAACATTATGAAACAATTGATTAACAAATGAATCTAATAGGTTTTAAATTTATGTCAATTTAATTTATAAAATTATATTTTTTTTAATAATAATGATAGTGATAAATAATATTTCATCTAATTACTTTTAAATGTTCACTTTACATTCAAATATAATTAGAATTATAAAATTCTACTAACGATAATTTAAACTATATACATTAGACTCATACTTAATTCTCTCACCCAAAGTCAAATTTATTTACTTTTGGTAAAATTCTGTATTTATAAAATGGATAATGAAGAATCATTGTGTAAAAATTTAGAACTTTGGATGACGCAGCTTCCGGCTATTATTCGCAATATACCCATAATTCATTTGGCCATTCCCGGTAAGTTTATTTAAATTATTTAAATAGTTGAATAATTAAAGTTTTCTTTGCTTTTCAAGATGGAAGAGTCAGAAAATAATTTTCTAGAATAGTCAACACTTTTGATTGATGGAATATAGTTCAATAATCTCTAAATCTAAATTAGTAATTTACTAATTTTTGACTAATTCAAGAGTCCAGATTCGTTTTCTTACTAAATTAGGAAACATTTTGATTAATTTTAAACAGGCCTTATTTACTAAATTGGTACATTTCTATCATCATTTGGTTATTATTTTTTACTAAAAATTAGTCGAAACAGTTACTAATTTATTTAATAAACGAATTGGCACTATTGCACGGTGCGCCAGAAGGTGGTTTAAATAAAAATGAATTGGCACTTAAAAATACTTTTTGATTATGATTCTTAGATGAATAAAAAACATTTCTCAATAGTTATTAAAATCAGTTTACGTGCCCGATTTAAATAAAATTGAGTTTTTATATAAAAACAGTGTTTTATGGGGAATCAGAATTTATTTAATCTAATAAATACTGTAATAAATGATAAAATAATTACTTATTTTCAATTTTACATATAAATAATTATATTGCTGTAGTGTTTGTGTCCAATTTAAAAAAATTAAATTATAATTTTAAAAGAACGATTTTAAGAGTGACAAAATTTATTTAAGAGAGTCGACTGATCTCTGAAATTTTTTGGCAAGAAGAGACCTTTAATTATCGCTCTATAAAAACGGCACTAAACGTGAAAATGATAAACATTGTTTTTAAAATACTTTCTTCTCGAAAGACGGACACTTTTTACAAAAGCAGCTAGAGATTCTTATCTTATATAAATTTCCTAAATCCTAAAGATTATACGAATCCATACAAAAACACGATTGCAAAACGAAAAGTAATATAATGACAGGTTCATTACCTCCTGCCGCCGTCAGATGGCAGCAACATGCAGGGCGCACAAAGTCGCAGCTGTTATTAGACTACTTTTCTACTTTTTGTTTTGCAACCATGTTTTTCTATGGATTCGTACAGTCTTTTGGATTTAGGAAATTTATAAGATGAGGATTTTGGCTGATTTTGTTAAGTGTTCGTGTTTCGAGAAAAAAGTATTTTAAAATCAATACTATTTCACGTTCAGAGCGATAATTAAAGCTTTCTTCTTGCCAAAGAATTTCAGATACCGTTCGACACTCTTAATGCATAAATATAAAAACGAAACAAGAAAATAACTTCATTGTTAATAAATTTATATGAACCCAAATCTAAAACATCTATTATCTATACGCATATAAGTATATATTAAATAAATTCTGGTTCCTCATAAAATATACTATTTTTAAATATTTAAAACTCAATTTGTTTTAAATTGGTCACATAAGCTGATTTTAAAACCTATTGAGAAAAGTTTTTTATTCATCTTAGAACCATAATGAAAAAAAATTTTTAAGTGCCAATCCATTTTTATTTAAACCTCCTTCTGGAGCACCGTGATTGACTATGTCAAAAACTAGAAATTCACATTTAGAGAGTAGTAGAATCTTTAATTGTTTGACATATCGAGTAGTCGTCAATTAATTTATTAGAACTGTCAAATAGTCGACAAATCATTAGTATAATGTTTTAATTTTTTTTTTTCAAAATTTTGTTCAGGATCACATAATTCAATGACCTACACAATCAATAGCTACAATAACTTTGGAGGTGAATTCCCACTAGTAGATGACTACAACATTAATGTATCATCAGCTATAAAATGGATGATCAATCAAGACAAGTCTGTAAAAGAACAATTGAATGGAGGAATTCGTTATCTTGATCTACGTGTATGTGCACAATCAGACAGTGATTCTATTTATTTTGTTCATGGACTATGTGGATCCGAAATTACTGAACCTCTTCAAGAAATAAACGAATGGCTTTCATCTCATCCCTCCGAATTTGTTATTCTAGATTTTCAATATTTTCATTCATTCTCAGAAGACAATCATCGACAGCTAGTTAAAAAAATTAAAAATATTTTTAACGGTAAAATTTGTCCATTTTCCAAAAAAATTAACGAAATCACATTGCAATGGTTGAGTTCAGAAAAATATCAAATTCTCATTATCTACAGGGAGATTATTGAAAAAAATTTTTATAATTTTTGGCCAAGTGATATGTGGCCAAAAAATAGTTCGGATATAATGAATTTTGATGAATTTGAAGAATTTTTAAATAAAACAATTGTTACAAGATCGACAGAAATTGGTTGCATTTTACAATGTATACCTAATCCACAAGGTAATTATATTATACAAGAAGACTTACTGTCTGATGATTTACGTAAAGAATTTACTGAAAACTTTCGAGATGACACGTGTTATTGGATAAATATATATCCCGCGGGGCCGGAAGGCATCAATGTTGTTACTACTGATTACGTGTCATATTCTGATTTTTTATTTTCAAAAACAGTAATTAAACGAAATGCTTCTCATTTATATGAATATGACGATTAGTTGAAGTTGAAGGAAAACTCATAAGGGATCAGTATGGAAATAAATTTTAGAGTTAAAAATAAATACTTGAAAATATGTACAATAAATTCACATTGACATTAAGCATGTTTAAAAATGAACAATTTTAATACAATGTCATTAAATTTATTTAACATTATGTTTCTTTGCAATGTATGATTATCTAAACATTTTGTTTACTACTATAAATTTAAAAAAGTCTATTCAATTATCCAAATTATGAACTTAAAATAAATCAGTAGAAATATCTTTTCATTCCCGTACAGAATTTAATACAAAGAAATATGACATTGATGTTTGAAGAACCTTTAAGCAATATCATAATAATTAAAAAAAAAAAATTAATTAAATAACTTACAATTAGTAGTTTGTATGAACTTATTGTTAGCAGTTTCTTTTTTCTTTAACCACAGTTTGTATTTGAAAACAATTTTTTCATACAAGCAAAAAAAAATTATCAGCTTGCTAACTACGAATAATTTTGTTTAAGCAAAATATAATTTTTCATAGCTCTCTTAGCCTTATAGTAACAATTTTCACTAAGAGTTAATGATGAACTTTCTGTAATGTCATATGAAAAGCAATTATTTTTGCTATTTAATTTAAAAAAAAATATTTATACCTTTGTAAAAAACTGTAATGAAAGTATAAATATTTTGCCAACGACAAATGTTGTTGGTTCAGTTCCTTTTCTCATTATTATAAGTAACAATTTTTTTGATTCAGTTGACAGATGATACCACTCTGCATTGTATCTAATAAAATCAGTGCATATATAGTTTTATTATTATTTTTTTTTCTTCTGACACACAGCAATTTAGATACAAGATACAAGATGTCTAAAGTTCATAACACTAAAGTATTTCTTTACAAGTAATTTAGCTACAGAAAAAAAAGAAGACTATGATCTATCAAATGAAAATTCAGTCAGATGAAATTTTTTGATGAATTCTATTTTTGTTGGATGATTAAATACCCTAGGTGTAGAATCTTTGGTTGAAATCTACGACAAACTGAACAAAACACCAAAAAAGGTAATATTAATACTTGAATCAAAATCAATAAATAATAATGATTTAAAAAATTTAGGAGATCAAATAAAGAAACAAGCATTTCAAAATTAATTAAAATTCTACTAATTTTTAGAAGAATTATTATCGTTAATTAAAGATATTATAGATCTTTGAACAAACAAAAGAACTGAGAAAAATACGTATTATGGTACTGATAAATTGTTAACACACTAATGACTACTGCTATTAAAGTCAAAATTATTTAACTAAAATTCTTGTAAAGCATAAATTAATGTTTTGATCTTGTTTACAGTTTTTCTAATAAAAAGAAATATTAAAATCATCAAAAATAAGTTGTACATGACACTAGAAAGACTAAGGCTGGTATCCAGTAAATGTTGAGTTGGTAGAGTTAAAGCATAAATATGAAACACTTGACATAATATGTAACATCCAAACCTTAATCCATCCCCAGAATTCTTTAGATTTGTCACACACTGAATCACATCGTAAGATTAGGGCAAAGGGCTAATATTATTACCTCATATGAATACAAAAAAATTTTTAATATAAGATACCTGTACTCCTGTGATGCTTAAATTTATTATAAGAACCCCAAATACCAAAAGATAGGCAGTTGCATAAGCATCCTGGGCATCATTGACAAATCTCGCAAAGTAAAATATTTTAAGTAATATAATAAATATACTTTATGTAATGTTACTTGCTTCTTAAAGAACTTAGTCTTTATTTTTCTTAAATAAATATCAAATGCATTAGCCAAAATAATTTTGTCCGATAGTGCAAAAGACGTTCAATCTGTTAAGGCAAGAAAATCTCCCAAACTGTGTCATAATTGTGAATTTTTATTCTACATGCTTTCTAACTTCAATATTGGACACATTTTGGAAAATCGTCTTGTAAACCTTCTCCCTGTCAATTGCGGTAAATACAAATTCTATATTTAATTTTCAAAAAAAAAAAAATAATTTAGAATGTAGATAGCAGTGAATTTACTCTAACTTTTATGTCATTTAATTGTTTTGCAATTTTAATTTCGTTAATTTTGAGTAAAATTTTTATTATACAAACAATATAACTCTTCTGTGTAGTGCGACACAAATTTTAATTTCCCTTAGAAGCTTTTTTCGAGTACTAATTTTATTATCAAAATCAGGATTTTCTTTAATTGCTGTAGTCAATTTATGTCTGTGAACAATAAATATTTAATAGATGCATTTAAAGAAAACTATTTTAAGAATCAAAAGAATATCATTTGAAAAATGAGAAAATTATTTTATTCTGTTTATAAATTAAAACAAAAATAAATTCTGTTTACCCTATAATATCAAATATTCCACAAGCATGCTCAAGAAACATTACAAGAATTGTACCACCATTTACAGTACCAAAAGTACATGTAAGACCAAACATGTAACTGTAAATTAATATTAAACTGTAGTATTTTTGTGAATCTATACCACATTCAATTAGAAAAATTAATGGTTTAGGCTCATCACTATGTTGTAAAATTTGAATAAGCAAAGGAATTCCATGCGCTGAATAGTAAAATAGAACATTTCCATATAATACAACTGAAAAATTTTAGTAATGAAAAAAATAGAAAAATAATTTAATTTATTAAATATAATGTAATATAATTATAATTAATTAAAATTTAAAAAATATTCTAAATATTCAAATTGTTATTGATAAAATATCTACAAGTGTATATCGTAGTGTAAATTTTGCATTTTCTGCCATATTTGCTTAAAATTTTAACTTCATGTTTTGATGTTAATGTATCCCAGTCACTTTGCATTTTCCAGAAAATAACGTTTATCTAAAAAAAAATTAAATAAATGCTTAGCAGAATGTACTGAATGTTACCTAAAAATATTAATTTCAATTCAAAATTAAAATTAATTACAAGAAATTGAAAATTTTTTACCACTACAAAGCTTCCTTTAAGAAAGAAAAACAAAAAATTTAAACTGATTACTTGTTTTACATGCAGATTCGTATTTATATAAAGAATTGAACTCATTATAGCATAACACGCTGGTGTAACACACTCCAATACCAAATCAATATCACCCAATCTTTTTATCATTCCTGCAATCTAATTTTATTAATATATATATATACTTATGAAAGTAAAAACCAATTATTGTTAAATATAAAATAATATTACCTGAACCCCTATAAAAGAAAAGTGAATAAAAAAAATGTAAAATTTTGACAAGAAATTAAACCATTTTGGATGATGTAGACTTAATCCAGTCAAAATTATAATGTATTTGGTAACATTGTAGTATGGCTTATCAACTATGTCCATCTCGTCAATGTATAGACAAGATTGACAATAAAGTATATACAATATGTGCTTATAGTCCTTTGCGTGAGCACTCTATAACTCTTTGTACAAAATCAATAACGATTATTTAAATATTCACGTTGACAAAAATTGTTTCTTGAGAACTGTTAGCTGTACCTACAATTAAAATAATTGCCATTTTAACAATTCGAACACAAAGAGTGGACAGTAATTAAATATTTATTTTGACACAATGTATTTTCTAAAAAGTGTTCAAACGTATCTATAATTATAATAATTGCCATTTCTATATTTTAACTGAAAAAGTGTATGCAATTATAATAATAACAGTTTGAAAGGATTTAAACATTGTAAGAAAAAAAAAAATTTATCAATATCGTTGCATTATAGTGCGTCTTTAGATTTTGTCAATGAAACTAACCAAGGAATCAGTTATCTTGTGTGACATTTTTTGATACCTCACACTGAGTTACAATATTAAGGGAAATTAAGTTCTCTTCTATGTATTTAATTTAGCGATAAATATAATATTTCTATAGTCCCTACTGAAAATCCCTGTACAAGATCTTGTACAATTTCCTGTACAGGATCAGCAACTGAACTTGTACAAGTTCTGACCAGTTCCTGTACAGGAAAATGCATACGAATTTGGAACAAGTTCATGTGTGAGATCTTGTACAAGATCTGGTGCAAGATCTTGTACAAGAAAGATACTTGTACAAGAAAATGTACATGATCTTGTATAATTTCATGTATAACTACTTGTACATGAACACGTTCATGTTCTTGCACATGTATAGTTGTAAAATTTTTTTTTTTTTAATAAAATTTGAGATTTTGATAATATTTAACCACTAAGATTCGTAACTCATGCATGCTAAAAACTATTGCGCAGCTGTAAAGGTTAAAGTAAACTATTGCGCAGCCTTTGAAGTTTTTAATTTTTAGTAAAGAAAAACATGAATTAACTTGTGCAAGAACATGGACGTGTTCATGTACAAGTACTTATACATGAAATTGTACATGAACATTTTCTTGTACAAGTATCTTTCTTGTACAAGATCTTGCACCAGATCTTGTACAAGATCTCACACATGAACTTGTTCCAAATTCGTATGCATTTTCCTGTACAGGAACTGGTCAGAACTTGTACAAGTTCAGTTGCTGATCCTGTACAGGAAATTGTACAAGATCTTGTACAGGGATTTTCAGTAGGTGTAATATTAATTAAATTTGAATTTTCCCGCCGTATCACAACAGTGACGTCACTGCCACTCAAAACTGCTGGAGTTGTGAAGCTACTATTTACCAAATTTTAATGATCGCTTTATGACTTCAACAGTAATTGTCAACATCAAAACATTTGAATTTAATTAATGTAATTTAATTGTGCTATCAAAATATGTGAATAAATTTCAAAAATATATTCGTGAATAAATATTAAGGGAAATATAAGAATTAAAGTAAAATAGATTTTTTATCATTGAATAATGTCTATAAGGTGTTGTTATTTTCTCTTGTTTTTAGCTTTTTCTGTGGTACTTTGGCGAATCTTCTTCGAATCTTATTTGCAGCTATTGTAAGTAATATAATTAAATTTATATTGTAAATAAATAATTTTTATCCCAATAAAAAAACTAATTCAGACGAATTGAAATGAATTAACTTTTTGTGACAAGGTCCAATTCGTATTTGTCGCTAAGCAAGATTCAGTGAAGCCCTTCGTATATTCAATTCAATTCGTACCAATGAGTTTTCATCGGTTGAGAATTCAAACAAAATGACCAACTCGTCTATTGAATTTGTGCTGACGAATTAAAAAAGATTAAAAATCAAAAGTTTGTTCATTGAATTAGTACGAGTAGAGAGTTTGAATGTTCAATACAGCTTTGTCGAATTCGGGAGAATTGCAACATAGCTCTAATTCGAATTTGTCGATAAGTGGGATTCAATGAAGCCCAGGGTGTATTCATTTCAATTCAACTGAATTAGTTTTCATTTTCTGGGATGTACAATTTTCAATAAAAATATATAATCAAATATTAAATTAAGATAGATAATAATTTCACTTTTCAAAAAAGTACTTTCTTCTACAAATTAATTTCTAAATATATCTATTACTTAAAATAGTATTTTTATATAGTATAATAATTACATTAATGTAATACATTTTTAAAATACATTTTTAAAAATGAACATATTTAAAGTAAAAAATGGTATACCTAATAAAAATGAGATAATATGTATAACATGAAAATAGTATATTGCTTAACATGGGAAAGACAGACCCATTTATGGAGAGGGCGAATGTTTTTAGCACGAGTCGAGCACTGAAATGAACGAAGCCGTAGCCCAAGCGCCGAAGGCGCGAGGGTGAAGGCTGAGTGATTCGCAGTGCTCGTCAAGTGCTAAAAATTCAGTCCTCTCCGTAAATCGGTCCTTCGATCCCCATATCATGCAACATATTTTTTATCACGAATGCACGATTTCGACAGTTTTGTACCCCGTCCAGCGAGTTTAAACTTCAGGTTATTGAGTCGGTGCCAATGACATCCCGATTAGTATATCTAGCAGACATGCAGGTACTGTCTCACAGAAAACATTGACCTACGTGCGCCGGTATGGAGCATGCGCACAGCAACAACGACAGACTGAAAAGTGTGTGTAAATGATTTGTTTCATGTGTGTGACGTCACGTTTTTACTCCCTAGAGTGTAAATTTTTAATTTAAACGCACTCGCGCACGCCGCTCGAAAAGCTGGAGTTTAAGCTCGCTTGGTGGGGCGTAAAACTGACTAAATCGTGCATGTGTGATGAAAAATAATTTATGTTTAAAGGTGCTTAATAAATTATTGAACTATAATTTTTAATGTTATTATTTCTCCTCAATAGTCATCAGTTACATAACATTCAAAAATATATATAAATAATTTATTTCCAGCTTGAAAATATTATACTATTATTATATTAATTAAATTTTTATTAATTAAGATTTTATTTTAAAAATAATTTATTGTAATTATAATATTTATTAATATATTATTATTTTTATTATATGTAATTATTATTTTATATTATATTATTTATTGTATTTATTATTATATTATATAATTGTTAAATTTTTAATAAGGTTTTATTAAAAAATACTGCAATAAAATAAAAACAGAAATTAATTCATCTAATTTTAATAATAAATTTTTTTTCTGAACTATAATTCAAGTATTATTTCATTGTTCATAAGTTTCTGTTTTTTTTGTTATTGCAGTGTTTTATTTATAAAACTAAATTTAAATGAATTTAAATTTGCCGCTTTATTTTCTACTCAAAACTGCTAAAGTCAAGTGTACAATTATTTTTGTAGTTACTCAACGACTCGTATAGTGCTCTGCCTTCACTTTTACATTGCGTTTCACCTTCGTGCGGCAACCGGCATCTAAAGAGAAAACATTGTCCTCAATGTCGTAGAGATTAGAAAACAAAAATTATTAATTATTTAAGAGAGTCAAAAGTGTGTAAACGAATATTCATAGTGAAGAAGCAAAAATTGAACTATTCAAGGATTACTGGTGAGTCAGCAATATATATTTTCATTGAGTTGCACTTCCTGTAACAAACTTAATAATCAAGAATTATTATACCTATTATAGAATTTTATTTTTTATAATTTATTTTTTTTCGAATATTGTTAGAAGGTTATTGTATTTTTTAATAATTTTGATTTATTTTAATTATGAATTGGAGAAAAAAGTATTTAAGAGAAGTATATTTTACTAGATAAATGTAATAATTTTTACTTTACTGAATGCTAAATTTAAATTTTTAAAATGTTTATTAATGACATTTTTGAAGGTTAAGTAAAATGTAATGAAGGAATTTTTTTAGTATGGATTTTTATTTAAATACTTCTTTGTTTATTAGAATTGTAATATATTATTTATGTAATTATTAACATATTTCTTTAATAATATTTTTCTAGAATTATTTTTTTTAAATAAATTTGTATTGAATTTACAATTAATATTTTGCAATTTTTGTTCTATTTATTTGTCGATGATTAAAATTTTTATAATATTTAATAATTATTATATGTAAATTTTATTTTAAATTTTTATATTACTTAATTTTTATTTATCTAAATTAATTTTATGATTCTTTTTTGTTGCATTTGATTTTATAATATTTAATATTATTAATTTAAAATTTTAATATTTATTCATTTTTTTTTTAATTTTTTATATAAGATAAATTTAGTTTTATAATATATTATGATATTTCTTAATGTTTATTTTTCATTATTTTTAAAGGCCATAGTTTTTTTTTTTAATTCATAATTAAAACAAATCAAAATTATTATAAAATATAATAACCTTCTAACAATATTCAAGAAAAATAAATAAATTATAAAAATGAAATTCTGTAATATGATAATTCTTGCAAGAATTAATTATAATTAAAATGAATTAATTATAAGTATGCTTGTAAAGTTTGGGACAGGAGGGTGCAAGTCTTTTCATTGAATTAAACAAATGTAAATCTCCATTTGTTTTAACCGATTAATTGCATGAATTGTTTTTTTTTTATTTAATTATTGCTTCCTCATGGTGGAAGCATTGTAATACCGAAATTTTTTGAACTCGATTTTTTTATGTATCTTTATGTGCTTCGACCTCAGGAATCCAAAAATGACATTTTTAAAAAGTTTCGTTCCATGTAGGTGTGTCACGGTGCGCCAGAAGGAGGTTTAAATAAAAATGAATTGGCACTTAAAAATTCTTTTTGATTATGGTTCTAAGATAAATAAAAAACATTTCTCAATAGGTTTTAAAATCAGCTTATGTGCCCAATTTAAAACAAATTGAGTTTTAAATATTTAAAAATAGTATTTTATGAGGAACCAGAATTTATTTAATGTATACTTATATGCGTATAGATAATAGATGTTTTAGATTTGGGTTCATATAAATTTATTAACAATGAAGTTAGTTTCTTGTTTCGTTTTTATATTTATGCATTAAGAGTGTCGAACGGTATCTGAAATTCTTTGGCAAGAAGAAAGCTTTAATTATCGCTCTGAACGTGAAATAGTATTGATTTTAAAATACTTTTTTCTCGAAACACGAACACTTAACAAAATCAGCCAAAATCCTCATCTTATAAATTTCCTAAATCCAAAAGACTGTACGAATCCATAGAAAAACATGGTTGAAAAACAAAATGTAGAAAAGTAATCTAATAACAGCTGCGACTTTGTGCGCCCTGCATGCGGCTGCCATCTGACGGCGGCAGGAGGTAATGTACCTGTCATTATATTACTTTTCGTTTTCCAATCGAGTTTTTGTATGGATTCGTATAATAATCTTTAGGATTTAGGAAATTTATATAAGATAAGAATCTCTAGCTGCTTTTGTAAAAAGTGTCCGTCTTTCGAGAAGAAAGTATTTTAAAATCAATGTTTATCATTTTCACGTTTAGTGCCGTTTTTATAGAGCGATAATTAAAGGTCTCTTCTTGCCAAAAAATTTCAGAGATCAGTCGACTCTCTTAAATAAATTTTGTCACTCTTAAAATCGTTCTTTTAACATTATAATTTAATTTTTTAAAATCGGACACAAACACTACAGCAATATAATTATTTATATGTAAAATTGAAAATAAGTAATTATTTTATCATTTATTACACTGTTTATTAGATTAAATAAATTCTGATAAAGAATTATATTATTATAACTATAACTTTTTTTTGCATTTGAAAATTTTTTTTTAAAACGTCTTTTGCCAATACTTTAAAAAAATATATTGGCGCACCTATATAAATGTTTACCTTTAGTACAAAAAAAAAATTGCAATGTTGCAATGTTAACTAATTCTTTATTAACAATCTACTTATCCAAAATACTTCTTATAGGGCTCGTTGGATGCGGAATTACGTTAACTTTCAATTGCTAACTTCAGAATTACGGTAATTTTATTTGTTTGTTAAATATTTCATTTGTTATAAACATTAATTAATTAATTAATTAATTAATATCTCACTCTGAAAATTACATGTTTTGTAGGAAATTAGTCAAGCTTTTCATTGAGATAGTTAAAAAAAACAATTTTATCAAATACAATAATAATTGATTATTAAACTTTCACCAACAATGACAACATTTTAGAAAAGTATGGATTAAATTCAAGAAATTTTAATTTTTTGTTCAGACATTTCAGGAATTTTGCCTCATATATTTTTTCTCTTTTCATAAACATTCGTTGGTAAAAAAGGCATCTGTAAATTTGACTGATTCAATTTTCAAATTATACCTATAGGTGATACTGTATGTTCTGGATTAGAGATAATTATTGCATTATAACAATAGGATTATCAATTAATAAAAAACATATATCTAATAGAAATTTATATAAAACTTTATTTGTTTAAACAATTTTAATTTATTAAAAAAATTTCTTTCATTTATTCTCTTCATTATTTTAATTATATTTTCTGCTTTTTTCTAGTAATAAATAAATTTCCTCTTATCAAATTTAGGGTATTGAATAAAACAATTTTTTATCTACCATATATCTTTAATAAAAAAAAAACATTGCTACACAAAATTTATAATAATTTTTCTAAAAATCCACATATATAAGTATAGTGTATAGCTTATCATTGAAAATACGTCTTTTTTTGCAAAATGCTAAATTTGCATTAGCTATTGATTAATGTTTTTAAATATACATGTGTCACAGTTATTTTATATGACTAGGGGAAAAAATCTTCTCTTTTTGAAAATTAGTAAAAGTATTTCTATCTTCTTTTTTTTTATTACATTCTGACTAGATGACCATCATTTTGTTATAATTTATTAATAGTAATTAGGACACATTATCAGGAGGAGGTGACTTTCTTTGATTTTTTTCAACTGTAAAAGTTGCATTTTCTGTTGATTCTGTTGTTTTCTGAAAAAGAAGTAAAATTTATGATTCAACTTTTCAAAACATATATTTTTTACTTTACTATTCTCTATGACTTACGATTTGTGAATCCGAATCAATTTCTGTTTGCAATTTGAAAATTGGTAATACATCTGGTAGTGGTGGAGGTCCTGGAGGTGATCCATAAGTTTCATGAAGTTCTTCAAGTCTACTGCTGAGTGCTGATCCCCTTCGACTAGTTGCATTCATTTTCTTAACGAGCCAATCAGCTTGCTCTTCAAGACGCTTTAGACGAGCTGCACGAGCTGCTAAAATCTCATCTGGACTTCTATTTGATGAATTACTAAAGTTCTTATTGCTATTATTTGTTGAGGTAGTTAACAGTTGTTGAGAGGAACTTGCTTCACTACTTTCTTGCAATTTTTCATCAGTTACACTTGATTGCTTAGATGATTTCAGTGTAGTCAAAATTGTATTTGATTCAACAAGCGGATGTTCTTGAATATCTGATTCCAATTTAAATGTGGGTTCAATTTCCTTTAGATCATTTGAACTAGAATGTAACTCAGGAGAGCTAACATTATCTGTACCATTTTCACCAAAAAGGGTTTCACTTTCCAAATTAGAAGCATCAGAACAGCCTGCTGGAAATGGTCCAATTCCAAATACAGAATCATACTGTGCTGATGAATTAGTCTCTTGTTCTTCTTTTGGTGAATTTGAATCTAATCTATCCTCATCATCAGATGGGGAAAATTTTATAGAACATTTGTCATCTTTAAATTCGTATGAACATTGTGTAGTCCAGTCTTTGGCCATTCTCTTCAGGTTTTTCTTTTTACAAAACTTTGATAATTCAGATGATTCTGTAGATGGACCAGGTTCTGTATTGTTTGGCAACTCTGATAGTCTTTCATCAACATGGGTTGGATAATTTGTCTCGTCAATTTTTATTAGATTTCGAATTACGTTAGTTAATGCTCTGTCTAAGGGATCTAATAATTCTACTTCTGTTTCTAAAACCTCCTGAAATTGATTATTTACTGTTACTGTAGCTGTTTAATAGATAAAATAAATTATTAAATCGATGACTAATAATATTAACTCACATCAGCCATTGTGTCAGATTCATTTGTAATATTTGGTACTTCTTCCATTTTCTCTTCATCGGGTAATTGTTGTTCAGATGCGCAGGAAGAAATAGTTTTTGATTCGGAAATTTCTGTATCAGTTGGCTGTTCTGATTCTGTATCTGATACGGCTCTGGATTCTTCCTAGAATTTAAAAAAAAAACCCGGAGGGAATTATCAGAAAGTTTGAAAGAGAAATATTCTTCTTTGGATTAACAAATTCAATTTACCTTTCGATTTCTTCTTCGAGATCCAATAATTCTGACTCTTTTTTCCACATTTTCTTCATCCTCCATCTCTTCATCTGACTCATCATCGCGACCATCACTAAATCCACTTTCAGCACTGAAAAACAATCGAAAATTAAATCTGAAAATTTCTTTAACTGTTTTTAATATTATAATTTTTAAAATCACCTATTATTCAATGAATCAACATGTGCCAAAGCTTTTCGAGCCGCAAATTCTCTTCTTAAACTTCTCCATTCAATTTCAGTGTTCGTATTTTTTTGTCTAGCCGACTCCCATTTTTCTCTACAATATTCTAATTCTTGTTTTAATTCTTGAAGCATTTTACGTTTTTGCTGTAATTCGTATCTTAAAATTTTTTCATGTGTATGAAGTTGCTGATGTTGGGCTTGCATTCTTCCAACTATATTCCAAGTTTTTGTCAATTCATCAGACACGGTTGAAAGTCTTTTTTCCTAAAAATAATATATCCCTTTCTAATTTCTCCTATTCTAGCAAAAAAAAAAAAATTAATAATTAATTACTTTACCTGTTCAACTAACTTTCCTTCCAAATGTGTATTCAATTGCTTCATTCGATTCATCTCCTTCTCCAAATGTTTCTTCTCAAGAATTAATTCCTTTAGACGAATATAAGTTTTGCTTACAGAAATAACTAATTGTGGTCCAGTTGGTGTATCAACTGATTTATAACAAGTATCCGAAGCCGATGATAAAGCCACTGATGTTGCAGATGTTTCTGCTGCATGACAGCGCAATAACTCCAATAAAACACGCCACACCTAAATGAATTTTTAATAACAATAGAAATAACTAAATTTAAACTCAGATATATAGAATACTACCTTTGGTAAATTGTGAGCAATATTTTCTTGCTGGAGATCATCGTCTTCTTTTCTTTCATCGCTTTCAGAATCAGTATTTCTTTTTTCCTTCGAATTACCCTCAACTTGTTCGATTAAATCTAATAACAATTTTGGTAATGCTGCAGCCTCTGTACCACTATCTCGGGTCATATCACTGATTAGATCATGATTCTCCTATTAAAGAAAATTGTAATTAATTATTTTGAATCAATAACAAAGAAGATAGCCCTAAAAAGTCAATATCTTTGCAAAAAAAAAATTTTAATCATACAAATTGATCGAAAATAAAGAAGAGTTTACTTTTAATAATTGAGTCAATCGATCGAGATCCATATCAGCTGAAGAGGCACCGAGCAGCATTTGTGTAAAGAGATTATTAATAACCGACATTTGATTTTGTAAATCTCTACAATCTGCTTTAGCAAGACCTAATTGTGATTCGAGATTTAGTGTTTCTGCTTCCTGAACATCAAGCTAAAAAATTAATTTCAAACATATTTATTCAGATTAGTGTTACAAAAAAATATTCTATAAAAATTTATAAATCAAAATAACCTTCTCTTCAGTTTTTCTCAAATCATCTTCAAGAATTTCATTATTGTCTTTTAAACTTCTCACTTCTCTTTTAACGTCAGTTAAATTCCTAATTGCAGAATCTTTCCATTCCATTAAAACTTTAGAACGTTCCTCATAGAGACGTCGTAAATTATGAAGATCACCAAGTTGACGATTATTTTCCATTCTTATTTCATCATCACAGTTGAGAAATGTCCGATCACCAAGTTGAACTAAAATTTGTGATAAACGATCCTTCAATAAACTCACTTGTCGTTCTCTTGATCTTAATGTTTCGCGCATATCGTCAGCTAATTTTTTTAATGATAAAATACGATTCTTATGAATCTCAGGTACATTATCGAGTTGATAAAATAGATCATCAGCTTTTTCTAATTGAAAACGTATGTTGTTCATCACCTCCTCAGAAATCTGTAAACATTATTTTAAATAAGTTAAATTAATTATTAATTACAATTTAAGTGACGAACCTTTAAAAGATCAGTCAATCGCACAGCCTCAACATTTTCTTTCTTCTCATCCTTTGCATCGTCTTTCGTTTTCATTTCACTGTCTTTTTCCGAAATATCTGAACATCGATTACAAATTTGTGTTTTAATTTCATTCTCAACTTCAGACGATGAAGGTAGATTTTGTGCAGCTTTCAAAATTTCTAAAATTTTTGATGTTTCTGAATGTGCCACTTTTTCAGCGTCCAATTCTTTTCGTAGACGATCCATTTCTGCTGAAACTGCCGCAATTGCACGTTGTCGTGCTTCACGTTTTAAAATTAATTCCTTTTTAAATTCTTCGCCAACCACTGCTGCATTTATTGTTGAATCTTCCATTCTCGAAGTGCCTTTAAAAGATAACGGTATTTCAAAAAAAGGGAGAATATTTAAGGCATAATTATTTATAAAAAAAAGTAAAAATAATACCAGGATTTGATGGTTCCTTATCAGCTTGAATAATTTGTTTCAGTTTCTGTATCTCCTTTTTAGCATCTTCAAGTGCAATGAGATATTTATTTTTATCAGATGCTTCTTCTTGTAATTTTGTTCGTAACACATTATTTGCATCGAATTCTTCCTTTCTGATTCTGTCTTTCTCTTGTAGATCCTTTTCCAAATTCGAGATCCTTGATTCATTAGCAGCCTTTTCATATTGGAATGTCTCGAGTTCTTTAAGCAGCCTTACAATTTCTCTTTTCGAAAAGTCAAGTTTGCCTGAAAGATTACTCAATTCGTCTGTTCGTTCGACGAGGCTCTCTTCAGTTCGTTTGTATTCGTTCCTTGTTATCTGAAATAAAAATTTCATTATTGAAACATTAAAAAAAAGTAGTCAAGACTAAAATTACAAAAAAAAAATTATTTCAGATTAAAAAAAATACCTCATTATCGTCTTTTAATTTTTCTATCATCCGTTGCTGACTTTCCAAATCCATTTTCAGTCTTGCATTTACAATTTGAGACCTTGCGGGATCAATGTCTTGAGATTCAGAAAAATTCTCATTTCCAAAATTCGAAATACCCACATCAACTTTTTGGCATCGTTCATTTTTTTTAGCTGGTCGTTTTCTTGTTCCTAATTTACCAACATCATCATTTATCTCCGTTTCATTGACAGCAATATTATTAATACTTTCACATGAACTATCTTTAGCAATATAATCATTTTTCTTAAATTTCCATGCCATTTTTGATGAAATTGTCTTTTTCCCTGGATTACGATTGTGTCGTGAAATTTTTTTAAATTCACGACTTTTATAATAATCATTTGCATGATATAATTCTTGATTTGTTTTTGACGTTAATTCACGATCATCATAATCGTAAACATTTTCATGTAATTCATCATCATTTGAATCAAATGTTGAATGTTGTGCAGCCACTGCATTATCAAGATGATCACGTAAATCATTGTCTAAATTTCTTTGAATTTTTTGTTGTTGTTGTTGTTGTTGTTGTTGTTGATTATTATGATTATTGGAAATCAGTCTTTCATTTGTTGCTGTTTCTATGCTAAATGATTTATAATTAACACCTTTTGTTTGAGTGAAGTCGGTGTTTCTTTTAACTTCACGTTCTCTTTTTAGCTCATCATAAATTGCCTCCAAATGCATTAGAGTAACATTTTGTGCTGAAGCTAATTGTTGAGTAGCTGCTGCTAGATGTGAAACTGTTCGTGTCAATTCCATTCGTTCCTGTTGCATGTCTACTGTCATTCTTCCGTTTGATGGCCAGCCGACAATTTCTGGGGCGTAGGTTAGCTGAAATTAACAAAAAAAAAAAAATTATTTTTCTTAATTAGATTACGTGACTTTTTGTTTGAGAGAATTTTAATTTTAAAAAATTCTCGTTAAATCGAATTTACCAAATTTTAATTTGTTCGAATTTTTATTTGTCCGAAATTACAAATGTCCGAATAGACAATCGACAGAAAGGATTTCGGCGCTATTTTTAAAATTGACGAATTAGAAATTATCAAGAAAATTGTGATTGGTCAATTTTAAAAAATTGAGCGGAAATCTTTCTGGCGATTGTTTATTCGGCTATTGGTAATTTCGGACAAATGAAAATTCGGCGTCTTAAAAAATGTATTAATTAAAAATTCGTAAAACCAAAATTCTGTGAATTGAATTTTTTATCATTTAAAAATTTTAATCAAATAAAATTCGATTGAATGAGAATTTTTTAAAATTAAAATTCAATTGTATTAAAATTCTCTTAAATAAAAAGTCATGTTAATTAAATGACTGTAAAATAAAAATTCTGACAAGTAAAAATTCAGTAGCTAAAAACTCTGTTATGTAAAAATTTGTTTAAAGAAAAATCTGTCCAATTTTAATTCGAAAATTTCTTGACTTTAGAAGACACTTTAGCGTTGTTACTATTATATTTCCTTTGTCCCAAATATAAAAAATGAATTAATCAGTTATAAATGTACCTTTTCTTTAAAAAATAGTCTAAAATTAGAAACAAATTGAGAATATTTTTTTAGTTAACTTTTCTACTTACTTGAGAAATTATATTAATGTGAGCAATTTTTTTTTTCTAAACTTTGTCTCTATTGAATTTTATTAACTTTAATTTAAATAAAAATTTTCTTTTTTAAAATATAAAATTTCAAAAAAAAAAGTATAAAATGTAAAAAAAAATGATTAAAATTCACAATTTTACGTTTATATAACACTTTTGTACCAAACTCATTGGCAAACGTTTGAATACTGAGGAAAATTTTCCTCCGCGTTCGTCGAAACTTTTCGAGAAGATTGTCGTCGTCACGTGAATGTGATTCAGACGCGCCATCAGCCATGGACCTCTTTTTGTTGAAAAACTTTGAAGCTAGTGAAGTTTGTAGATTAATCGCATTTATTATTCAAAGTAAAAAAAAAAGAGTTTTTGAACTTTTGCCAATTTTCTCAAGCAAAATTATTATTTTACTGTCTATTACGCATTAATTTTCGATCTATTTTCAATTTTCTTTATTTTTTTTATAGATTTTTCTTTGTTTTCGTATATTAGTAAAAAAAAAAAAAAAAAATTAGCCTTTTACTTACTTACCATTGAATCTTGTCGTGAGTGAGTATTTGATGGAGTTGGTGATAAAGATTCATGTTGCCAACATCCCTTTCGTCTTAGAGTTGTATAAGGACTTGGTCCCTAATTGAAAAATTACTAATATTGATTTATTAATATTAATAATTGAATTTATTTTTTTATTTAATAATTTATATTTAATAATTTAAATAATAATATTTATAATAATCATATTATAATTTTCATTTTTAAAATTTATATTTTTCATTTCAATATCATTTTTGGAAATCTTCTTTTTGGCACAATATTTAATTTCTTTGTCTGGGCCAAAAAATCATCTGACGACTTTAATACAAAACACACACACACATTTGTACACGTGGCATCCACGTGTATAGTTTTACTTTAAAAAGAAAAGAAAAAAAATAAAAAAAAAAAAATTAAAAAGATTTTTTTAGAATTCGATTAGTGGTTTTCTATTTTAAAACTATTATGTCATACACAATATTTAGTCGTTTTTCGATAACTTATGTGAAACATTATTTTCTTAAAAAATAGAGTAGGTTTTAGAAATAAATTTTTTTGTTTAAAAAAACATTTTATTATAACATTTTATTATATAAATAATAATGATAATAATAAAATAATAATAAAAATAGTATTAAAAATAAAAAAAAAGTAATAATAATAATAATAATAATAATAATAATAAAAATATAATACCTGAGACAAAGGCCCGTCGAATGTGCTGGTACAAGTTTTATTGGTAGCATCTTCCGTTGCATCTTCAATTTCGTGTGTATTAGTGGAAGTTTCTGAAGATGGTGATCTTACATTGCTAAGAAATGGTGGTGCCGGTAGCGGTGGTGGTTCAACGCTCCAGGTACGATGCTGATTTATCGGCAAGCTACTATTTCCAGTGCCCATATTTTTAAATTAAAAAAAAAAAAATATTGCAAAATTTCTCTTTTCCACTGTTTTCAGAAGAATTTTTTTATTTCTTTACACATACAAAATTAATTTTAACGAGAATCTGAAAACAAACAACAAAAAAATTTGCAAAAAATATTATTTATGATCTTTTTTTTGTTTTTGCAAAAAAAATTAAATAATGTTTTTTTCATTTTGTAACATTCTGTTTATAAACACGTGTAATTAAATTTAAAAAAAATTAAGATTTTAACAATTATTTAAATTTAAATAAATTATTATTATTAATTAATTAAAAAGATGATATCGATCACTCCGAGTCAAAACATATTATTATTATTGTTGTTATTATTTTTATTATTATTATTATTATTATTATTATTATTATTATAATTATTATTATTATTATTAATAAAATAATAATAGTAAACGTGGTTGGCAGTTGTTAGTAATTCGGTTGGCAACACTGTGAAGGACGTTCATTCTCGTGAGAAAACGTGGTCATTTGTGTTTAGGTTCTTATATATTTTATATGTAATTATATAATTTCTATAAAAATTATAAAATATTTTATTAAGTCTTATAAAAGTGCCATGGATTTGCGGCAGTTATTAATCTCATGGGAATTCGAAGAATAATATGTAGATTGTTTTGAATGTAAGTAACAATTTAATCAATAAACCTAACCTACAAAAATTTATTTATTATTATTCGCATCATACCAAAAAAATGTTTAATATATAAAATTTATATCATACTTGGTACAACAAGAAAGTTATATTAATCTTACAATAAACATATTTTTTTTTAATGTTAATAATAATAAATAAATAATTGCGGTTGTAAATATTTTATTTATCGAATAACCTTTTTTTTTATTAGTAAGTTTACCTAAATTTTATTAGTAAAATTAACAAACTAAATGTTATCTGTTACAATATTTATTAGTTGTTAAATAAAAACAACAACAATAATTTGTTTAAAGAATTATTGCTACAATATTTTTTATATTATTATTATTTACACGCGGTTATTTTGAGAATAGAAAATTTACAAAATTAAAAATAACTTTAAATCTTTTGATACATTTCTAAAAAATTAATAAATAATAACAATAATTTATTTAACCGTGTTCATAAGGTTTTTTTTTTCAATTCATTTTTCCTATAATTTTATATTTCTAATAAACATTTTTTTTAATATTTATTTTTTCCTAAAAATATTTTTCTATTTACTTTTTTTTTCTAATTATTTTTTTCTTAAAATACCTATACATTTTTACAAATAATATAATTTTTCCGTAGATAATTTATAACGACATCTGTTTTTCAATTGATTTTCATTTATTTTATTTCTAAAAATCATTAAAAATGCTTTGAAACTTGTTACTTGTGGAGTTTTCTGGGACGCTGATTACGAATACGATGTTAATTTTTCAAAATTTAAAATGGCGGACGAAAAAAATAAAAAACTATTGAATTTGCTTGAAACATATTATTTAACTATTTTGTTGGTATAGCTGATTACGAATCCGTTATTAGTTTCTCAAAATTCAATATGGCGGATCCAATATAGTGAAAATTTTTTTTTTTAACTGATACGCCAGTTTGAATTTTGAAAAACTGACAACTGATTTGTAAACAGCGATCCAGAAACTGCCTGAGAAACGATTTTTAAATTTTCGACCACCATATTGGATCCGCCATTTTGAATTTTGAAAAACGGAACTCAGATTCGTAATCAGTGATCTTAAAAACTGTGCGAATTGTTTTTTCTGAAATATTCAGTTTTTCTTGGGTGTAAAAAAGGTTAAAAAATTATTAACGGCTATAATAGGATTTTTTTTTGCGATATTTTAAAAAATAATTAAAATAATTTATTTAATAAATAAAGCATAGAACTTTATTGTTTGAATATTTTTTTTTTAAATATTGTTTTCAGATAAAAAAAAATTCCAGTATTTTTTAAAATAATTAAATTTCAATTTTATACATATTATATCAAAGAGTAAAATAATTTTTTTTTATAAGTGAAACTGGCAATGGTTTAATAAATTTGAAATTAGCAATTGATGTTACCGAACAAAGAATCGTGACCGCGAGGAGAAACGTGGGACGTTCTTAAAAGACCTAGAACAGAACGTACATGAATGTCTGAAAATAGACTAATGCTCGATTCGAAATACACGGTTTGGTGTATTTATGCCAATGCGCCAGAAATAAAAAAAGCAACATCACTGCAGCACAGGGGTTGTTGCTTGGTGAAAAAAAAAAAAATCCCCACGTATATATATATAAATATATGAATGACTTTGACTGCGGGAAAGTTTTTCTTTATTTCTATATAAAACACTATGTGATCTTGACACTTCAAAGAAACTTGAAATCCAAAATTATAATAATTTTAATTTCATCTTTTAATGCAAAATTTATCACAATTTATTAGTAACAATTAATTGTAACAAAAATAATATTTATAATAATTTTGAAAAATTCTACTTTAAAAAAAAATTTCTACGAAATATGTATATATTTGCAACAAAAATTAATAAGAAAAAAAATTTTTTTTTCATAAAAAGTATTTTTGTATTTTAAATATTTTTGTAAAAAAAATTGACTATTTGTTTATTATTCGCAGTTTATTCTTATTTATTATTATATGTAGGTACTTTTGTTTTTATATTTTCTTTTATTTTTTTAATTAATTATTATTTTCTTTAAAAAATAGATTTTTTTAAAAATAAAATCTCATTAATTTATAAAAAATGATACCACAAATTTACTTTATCTCCCCATTAATTAAAACTATTTTTAAGTTATTATTCTGTCAATAACCTTTATTAGTGATAATTTTCAATTCTACTATTTCATTTTTTATTGTTAATTAAATATTTATTTATTACTATAAAATTATATATAAAATTTATAATATAAATATACGGTCATTAATATTATTAATTATTAATAAATAATATTTATTAAATATAATAAATAATATTTGTTAATATAATAAATAAATTAATAAGAAACGAAAATTGTTAATTGTTACAAATTTTAATATCAAAAAACAAATTAAATTTTTTTTTTATTATAAATTAATTTAATTTCATCTTAAAGTTTGACGTAACCTTTGCTTCCCGGTACTTCCAAAACATGTCAAGGTATCGCGTAGAGTAACAATATATTTTCTATAGACAATATTAAAATTTGCTAATAAAATTTTTTTTCTCACCTATATAATAATTGTAAATTTTTTTTGGCATTTATTTTCACATATGGACAGTTTGAAAACAAAGAAATACATTTTTGATATTATACATATATATATATGTCAAATATCAAGAGGAATTTTTATTATTTTTTTGAAAGAAAATTAAGATAGGAAAAATTTTTTTTTATTTTGCTCTAAAATGAAAAAGGGATTTGAAAAAAAAAGTTATTGTGTCAAATAATGAGAACAATCACTCACTTTAATTTTATTCAACATCAGCTATACGATCATCGAAAGAGAGCTTCACTCGCGTACACAGCGCTTAAGCGCGCAGGCATAAACTGAGTTAAACTGGCTTTTAGCCAAGTTTCCCCGTTTTCCATTTCGTGCCGTTCCGTTTCTCATCTCAATACACATCGGTACATTATATGTTCTAAGCCAATGCTAAATATAAAACTTCCTTCGGAAGCCACCCCTCCCTCCCCCCACTGCATCCTTCTCTTTTCTCGATGAATCTACGTTCATGAACATAAGCGGGAAAATCAATCGAAATTTAATAATTTTTTTTTGCAAATTTTCTATAAATATACACATCTTAGTGTATAGATGTGTTAAATTTCTTTAAAAATATAATTTTTTATGAAAAAATATTACAAAATTTCAAAAAAAAAAAATTTCTTAAGCCATAATCGGGTAATTCAATTGAAATTGAAAAAATTTTTTTTTTTTGCAAATTTTCTAAATATACACATCTTAGTGAATAAAAATTTAAAAATAAAAATGACAAAGTTGATAGTTGATTTAATATCAGTCAACTGTTAATTTGACATTAAATTCGTAATCACCGACACCGAAAAAATTTAAGGCAATAGAAAAGTAAAGTCTATAACAGTGAACACGTGCAATATGTCTTCAAGCACACTACGTTCATAAAGTATTTTTAGTCAGTATTTTAAACAATTCGCGGAAAGCATTGGCGCTCGCATCGATTTTGTCTTTACTTCTTCAATCGATGCAGTAAATTTGACTGTATTATTAATTTGTATTGAGTAATTTTTTTTATCGAATTTAATAATTTCCTTTTCGTGTATCAGCAATTTTGATTTTGGAAATTCTATTACAATGTCCGACACGATTTTTGACCCACAAAAAAATTCAATATTTTCGGAAACTAAGAACCAAAAAAAAAAAAAAAAAAACCGCGTTTGGCCGTTTTCCTAGATCAAGTCGTTTGTAGTTTTTAGGGGTAAAAACAACCCTTAAATGAAAAGTGGCAAGATATCTTTTAAAAATTATTGATATTTAATAAAACTTAGTAGGGTCAGCCGGGGTATATCCAAACGCTAATTATTTCAGCTTAATTAAAATTTTAAAAAATAAGTTAGACATGAGAATTTTTACCTCAGATCCTCTTCAAGAAATTTTAAGTATTATCCCATTTTTCGTTTGTTAATTAGCAACAGCATAAACAAAGATAACGAGTATTGCAACAAAGATTGAAAATCAAAGATGACACTCTTTCAGTATTTTGTCTCGTATTTGAAGAAAAAGAAGCTAAAAATTCATTTTGTTATTTATTACACAGGCACACAAAAAAAAGTCAGCTCCCAAAAAACACAACGCCATATTCCTATGTTTTTGGGGTCGCTGAAACCGAATATGACCATGAAAAATTTTTTTGCAGACCCATTTTCCCGCAAACACCCCCTTGCACCTACTCAGGGGGGTTGGAGTTTCAAATTAAAAAAAAAATCGAGTAGGGTGTCTATTCCAATGTTTTTTGGGTCACTTAATCCGAAAAACATTACTAAAAACAAATCCTTCCTTCCCTTAACCCCGTACAACCCTCTGGGAGGGGGTTAAAATTTTAAATTTCACAAAAAGTCAAGTTTGGTGTCTAATCCTATGTTTTTTGCGGCGCTGAAACCGAAAAACGCCACCAAAAACAAGTCCCTTCCTCCCTTAACCCCCTACAACCCCTTGAGAAGGGGTTGGAATTTCATTTTCACGGCGCTAAGTGTAGAAAAATAAATTTCCATAAGACATTGTAGGCGCGTATTTGTGTAATCATAGGTAACTTTCTAGAAAACTTTATTTTTGATGGTGTTTTTTGATTTCAGCGACCAAAAAAACATAGGAATAGATACTGTACTCGACTTTTTGTAAAAATTGAAATTCCAACCCCTTCTTAGGGGGTTGTAGGGGGTTAAGGGAGAAAAGGACTTGTTTTTGGTGGCGTTTTTCAGTTTCAGCGCCCCAAAAAACGTAGGATTAGACACCAAACTTGACTTTTTGTGAAATTTAAAATTTTAACCCCCTCCCAGAGGGTTGTACGGGGTTAAGGGAAGGAAGGATTTGTTTATAGTGGTGTTTTTCGGATTAAGCGACCCAAAAAAAATTGGAATAGACACCTTACTCGATTTTTTTTTAATTTGAAACTCCACCCCCGTGAGTCGGTGCAAGGGGGTGTTTGCGGAAGAATGGGTCGTTAAAAAAATTTTTCATGGTCATATTCGGTTTCAGCGACCCCAAAAACATAGGAGTATGGGGTTGTGTTTTTTGGGACCTGACTTTTTTTTTGTGTGCCTGTGTAATTGTTTGTTATGAATACTAGAACAGAAACTATTTTGGATTTTTGCCTTCTGTAAAATTTTATTAATAATATCAGACCGTTTGTATTTACCCCTGAAAATTGGAAAACCGGGGTAAATTCGAACGGTATTTTCAATAATTTTTTCTTATATCAGAACCACACAAAATTGTTTTTATTTGATTACACTATTATTTTAACATTATAAAAAAACATAGAAAAAAGTTTTTCTTTCTATATGTATCCTCGTTAGTAATTAATAAGCAGAAAGAACCCCGCACCGGATACATGGGAAATGGGGGTCCGGTGAATTTTTCTGTGCTTTTGATATTTTTTAGTTTAGGTCATTCTGAACAAAAAAGTCAAGTGACAAAAAGTCAAAAAATGGACGGTTTTTAAGATATATGCAATTAAAGTGGGAATGGGACCTCAGTAACGCTCACGGCATACTCAACTATCTTTCCCTGTAATATTGAGATTATTGTAATAAATGAGTTTACAATAGACTTTATATGTAATGTAATATAATATAATATAATATAATATAATATAATATAATATAATATAATATAATATAATATAATATAGTATAATGTAATGTAACATAATATAATATAATATAATATAATATAATATCTGGTATATTAAGGCTAGTAGTTTACCTGGTAGAATAATAAACAATAACAAGAACCCCCACAGTATATTATTATATTATATTATATTATATTATATTATATTATATTATATTATATTATATTATATTATATTATATTATATTATATTATATTATATTATATTATATTATATTATATTATATTATATTATATTATATTATATTATATTATATTATATTATATTATATTATATATAAAGTCCATTGTAAACTCTTTTATTACATTAATCTGAATATTACAGGGAAAGATAGTTGAGTATGCCGTGAGCGTTACTGAGGTCCCATTCCCACTTTAATTGCATATATCTTAAAAACCGTCCATTTTTTGACTTTTTGTCACTTGACTTTTTTGTTCAGAATGACCTAAACTAAAAAATATCAAAAGCACAGAAAAATTCACCGGACCCCCATTTCCCATGTATCCGGTGCGGGGTTCTTTAATCTCTGTTCTCTCGAAGGAGTGTTCCACTTGTTTTGCCAAATGGTTTGTTGAAAAAAGTTTTTCAGGATCTTAATAAAATTTGGTATTCTAGGGTTTTTGGGGTCGCTGATTAACAATTTGAAGTCAGTTTTTCAAAATTCAAAATGGCGGATCCAATATGGCGGATGGGAATTAAAAACTTCATTGGATTCGCTCGAAAATATTATTACTCGGGGGATTTCAGGGTCGCTGATTACGAATTTGGAGTTAGCAAATTTGATCATTTTTAAAAATAAGTTTTAGGAAAGTCCGACATTTTGAATTTAAAAAATTTTAATTTTAATTGTGTAATGCATTTTAATTTTTAACCTGTTTGATTTTTGTATTTATATATGATGCATTATTACATAATAGGTTTTTTATCGTATTTTTTTTTTTGAGTTTTGATATAAGTTTAACAATTGCAATACTTTAAATTTATTTTCCCTAAGATTTTTCTGAAATACAGTGGCGTTCGTATTTACTCCGGTATTTTAGGAAAGTTGCATAAAGTATCGAGATAAATACGAACGCTAAGTTTCCTGCGATTGTAATGTATCAAAAATTTTTGCTACCCCATAAAATTGTTCTATGAAAGTAAAGTAACAACTTCATGCACCAGAATACCGGAAGTATTATCTTTTAAAAGAAAAAACTTATGTTATTGTTGAAACTTACTAAAAGCGTTCGGATTTACCCCGGCTGACCCTATCTGGGGGTTTTCGGGATCGCTGATTTTCGTCAGATTTTCAAAATTCAAAATGGCGATCAAATTTTTAAAAAGTTATTAATTTTTTTATTTCATATCCGCCATTTTGAATTTTGAAAATTTAATATCAGATTCGACATCAGCGACCTCCAAAACCTCTTGATATTAAATTTTATAAAAAATTAATAACTTGAACGTGTTCAGAACAGATTTTTACGATTTGTATAGCGCGCCAATAGAGATGGTAAATACAAATTTGAATTTTCTCTCTCTTACTCCTGCACGTTACCATGACAACTCCTGCAGGCAGGCAGGCAGCCAAAAAGGTGTGAGTGCGCCCTTAGTAACATCACAAATTGTAATAACTAATCTTTCGCTTTATTCTCAAAAAAATATCTTTTATAGATACAGTAAATTTAAATTAATATTTAAGGGGGCACTCGTAGTTGTAGCGCCAAAAATAGACATTATTCATGAATTTTTTTCTCGTAAATCATGAAATGTTTTAAAAATATCGATTTATTATCTACGAGGGGGAATTTACTCAGGTAGTCAAGTGTACACTTTTTCTGTAATACTTGTGTAATATCGTGTAATAATTCGTTATTACGGTGCTGTAATAATATGAGGTGCATTACCGGTAGTCAAGTGTATACGTTTTTAACTAGTAAATTCCCCCTCGATTATCTAAAAATACATAATTTAAACTTGAATTTTAAAAAAAAAAGTTAAAAATATTAAATAGTTCCAAAGTTGTGTTCTCTTGAAGTGACGTCCTTCTGAAAAACATGATTTGCGGTGACCAACATTATGATAATCTGCTTCGTCTGAAATCAAAAATTAAAACGGATTTACATTTATTGAAAGATTATATGGTATTTAATCGAAGGATTTAAAAAGAAAAAAATATTTGACAAAATGTCGACCTGTCAAAGTTAAAGGTTCGATTTTCGTCAAAAAAGCGGTTATTTTTTAGATGTAAAAAGAAAAGTTTTGCATAAAAAAATCAATCCTTCGATTAAAGACTAGATTATTATGTATTGAAAAAGTATGTTAAATTTCAGGACAATCGGTTCAGTAGTTATCAAGTAAAATACTTGTATTAATCTAGTACAAAAACTATATATACAAAAAGTTCATTACTGAATTCTAAATAATATCGTACTGAATTAATTATCATTAGTTATTTCATTGTTAATAATACTATTATTTGTTGAATTTGTAGTTATTTCCTAAAGAAGAGGAGGTTTTCTACATTTTCGATGCGTATACCAGCAGTAAAGACGTCCGCCAATGGTATTACAATGGTCAATCTTGAAAACAATTCTATAAAGACATAGGAAAGAAATTCAGGTAGGTTTTGACTTTTTCGAAAAAATATTTTCTAATCCTTTTTTCCTAAAAAAAATCCATTTCTATAAATTTTATTCTAAAAAGTTTTGATTTGTAAAAAAGTTGTTCTAACAAAGTTTGATTTAAAAAAAATATATTAATTAAATTTTTCTAAAAGTAATAATTTATTTTTGAAATGTTTCTAAAAGTATATGAAGTCTTTCGTTCAGTTATGTACCTTCTGGAATATCATGCAATTGCATTGCACTCTTCCAATTTTTTGCATTTTCAATAAAATCTTCCCTTTGCTTGATGTTAAACAGTATATTATGCACCAAGGGTGTATGTACATATATGATTCAAAATTAAAATTTATACACATATTAAACATATGAATTAGAAAAAAAACATATTTTAGTTTTTTGCAACTTTTTTCAAAAAAAAATTTTTTTGCTAATTTTGCAAACTTTTTTATTTTTGTAGTTATTCACATGTAAAATGCGTCTCAATTTTAAAATTCATCAAAAAATATTCAATTTTTAAAAAATTATCGTGATTTAAAATCTTTTCAATAATTTTTTTTTCAAAAACCACCGAAAATCAAATTTTAAGAAAATCGAATCAATTTTAAATTTTTCCGCCGTATTGGGTTCGCCATATTCAATTTTTTTTTAAAATTCAAAATGGTTTTTAGAAAACAAAATTTTTTAAATTTTGTATATTTTAACCGTTTTATAGTCATCGAAAAACAGATGTAGAATAGAACATAATTCCCGGAGACAATTTAGTGAATACTCAATTAAATTAATTCTTTGAAACAACTCATTAAATTCGTTAGAATAAATTTTTTATTTGGATTTCTTAAAAATATAAAATTTAAAGATAAAAATAAATTTAATATTATATTGATTTAAAAAATATTATAATTAAACATAAATGAACTGAAATAAGAAAACAATAATAATTACAATTTTAACCGAGTGAATGTTAGCGAGAGAGGATATGATGCTAGTTTAGTAATAAAAAATAAGTTGTGCTGAATTAATTCTTAAAAATACAAAATTATAGTACATTTATTAACACGTGTTTAGGAAGCGAAAAAAGATGTATTTTAAAAGACTATTTCCAGCGCAATAGGTTAATAATTATTTACATAAAAACATTTTTCATTTATCTATAAATATTATTAATTATTATATAATTATATTGTAAATAAATAATATTGATTTGGACAACTAAAAGAACTCATTTATGAGAATCACCCAAATTAAAAATTTTTTTTCAAAAATAATGTATTTATTTACAGTTTTATATTAAATTAATAATTTATTATTTAACCTAACAATTATTTCCAATAAATTATTATAAACATACAATTAATTGATTATTATTACTTATTATATTGTTAATAGTGGTGGTTAAAATAGAAAATAATAAATCAAAAAATTTTTTAGTTTGCAGTTGTTTCCTGAAGAAGAAGAGGTTTCCGACATTTTCGATGCAAACACGAGAAGAATAGACGTCCGTCAATTGTAGTACAAAAATTGAAATAAAAATTCTCCATGAATTATTAAAAAGAATAATTATAATTATTGGCGAATTCAAATTAAAATCGGTTGCGCGCCACTTCCAGTACAGTAATGTCAGCCAATTAACGCCTGGCGTTCTGTTTTCCACCACCTCCAGCGGAGAGCGTCACTTCAAGAATATTCTCAGCCTATCAACGCCCGGCGTTCTGCGTTCCACCACCTCCAGCGTCGCGCGCAACTCCAGCGACACTTGTCGAGTCTTCATCCATTTAGTCCGCCATCAGCCACGTGCCAGCATCGTCCGGAATTTTTGGTGAGTTTTTCTCATTTTCTTTACCCAGATACCATCCCCTTTTCCAGGAAGTTAACCATGTAAAGTTCCTTACTTAACTCTGTTAACTTCCAGTTAAATTGCATGAATTTCTATGTATCCCACTTTTTTCTTTCCTTTGTTAATTTTCTAGTATTTATCAATTATTTACTAGAAAAATGCAAAGGATTATTTGTAAAATATTAAAGTTTATGTTTTAAAGTTTGTAGTTTGAATTTTTTTTTAAATTATGTAATTAAAGTGCTTTAAATAATTACTAGTGAATTTCCCCGAAAATAAAACTAAATTTTTGGTAAGTGGGACATTCTACTTGAAGCGGACAACCTCGATCCTGGTTTCTTTTTCAATATTATTATTTTTAAATATTATTAATTTATTAAAAATTTAGGAATAGAAGGAAAATGGGTAAATATTTTTAATTAAATTTTATTTCTTTGGTGGCATTAAATTTAATACAAAATATAAATCTTTTTTTCCTCCATCTTGTAAATTTTTAATACATTAATAATATTTAAAAATAATAATATTAAAAAGAAGCAAGAGGTGGTTATCCTCTTCATCTAGAAAGCCCCAAATGTCATTTAATTAGTTTTAATATATAATATTATATAATATATAATTTTTAATTATATATAAAATATTTTTACATTTTTTTAATTAATATTTTTGTATGAATATTATTATTTACAAAATTTTTAAAACTTCATATAAATATTGATCATAAAAAGAAATTTTTTAAAAAAATAATTTCTTTTTATTATCAATATTATTAATTACTACTATTTTTGTATTATTACAATGAAATACATAATTGCATGTATGTGACCTGTGAAGTAAAAAGGAGGAAAATGGCGAATAAATTAAGTTTTTACTGATTGGTTATTCTGATAGAGAAACATTTTTTCTATCAAAATAACCAATAAATAAAAAATTAAATTATTCACCATTATCCCCGCTTTTTACTTTGAAGGTCACATATATGCAATTATATACTTCATAGTAATAATAAAAAAAAATGTAATAATGAATAATACAAAAATATTAACTAAATAAATAATGTATAAAATATTAAATATATAAATAAATATTATTAGAAAGTTAGTTTTATTTTCGGGAAAATTGAAATGTAAATAAACATTTAAAGTACTCTAAGAACATAATTTTAAAGAAAAATTTAAATCTATAGGCAATTTTTAAAACATAATACTTTAATTTTTTAGAAATAATCCTCTGTACTTTTCAAGTAAATGTACATTGATAAGTAGTAGAAGTAAACAAAAGAAAGGAAAAAAAGAGTGGGATATATAGACATTCATGAAAGTTAACTGGAAAAAGACAGAGTTATAACCGGGACTGACCATGGTTAACCGAAAGAAAAGGGATCGGTAGAAGGGAAAGAAAGGGAAGAACTCCACCAAGAAAAAGGACAGCATGTGCGTGGCTGAAAATGAAGGACAACAGAGACTAGTAGACAGCATTACAGAAAGGAAAAACAACATATATATTGAATAAAAATTTTATTAAATTATTGAAAACATATTTGTCGTCTTCTTCTTCTCCTCCTCCTCCTCCTTTCAAAGCCACGTACATGCTGTCCTTTTTCTTGGTGGAGTTCTTCCCTTTCTTTCCCTTCTACCGATCCCTTTTCTTTCGGTTAACCATGGTCAGTCCCGGTTATAACTCTGTCTTTTTCCAGTTAACTTTCATGAATGTCTATATATCCCACTCTTTTTTTCCTTTCTTTTGTTTACTTCTACTACTTATCAATGTACATTTACTTGAAAAGTACAGAGGATTATTTCTAAAAAATTAAAGTATTATGTTTTAAAAATTGCCTATAGATTTAAATTTTTCTTTAAAATTATGTTCTTAGAGTACTTTAAATGTTTATTTACATTTCAATTTTCCCGAAAATAAAACTAACTTTCTAATAATATTTATTTATATATTTAATATTTTATACATTATTTATTTAGTTAATATTTTTGTATTATTCATTATTACATTTTTTTTTATTATTACTATGAAGTATATAATTGCATATATGTGACCTTCAAAGTAAAAAGCGGGGATAATGGTGAATAATTTAATTTTTTATTTATTGGTTATTTTGATAGAAAAAATGTTTCTCTATCAGAATAACCAATCAGTAAAAACTTAATTTATTCGCCATTTTCCTCCTTTTTACTTCACAGGTCACATACATGCAATTATGTATTTCATTGTAATAATACAAAAATAGTAGTAATTAATAATATTGATAATAAAAAGAAATTATTTTTTTAAAAAATTTCTTTTTATGATCAATATTTATATGAAGTTTTAAAAATTTTGTAAATAATAATATTCATACAAAAATATTAATTAAAAAAATGTAAAAATATTTTATATATAATTAAAAATTATATATTATATAATATTATATATTAAAACTAATTAAATGACATTTGGGGCTTTCTAGATGAAGAGGATAACCACCTCTTGCTTCTTTTTAATATTATTATTTTTAAATATTATTAATGTATTAAAAATTTACAAGATGGAGGAAAAAAAGATTTATATTTTGTATTAAATTTAATGCCACCAAAGAAATAAAATTTAATTAAAAATATTTACCCATTTTCCTTCTATTCCTAAATTTTTAATAAATTAATAATATTTAAAAATAATAATATTGAAAAAGAAACCAGGATCGAGGTTGTCCGCTTCAAGTAGAATGTCCCACTTACCAAAAATTTAGTTTTATTTTCGGGGAAATTCACTAGTAATTATTTAAAGCACTTTAATTACATAATTTAAAAAAAAATTCAAACTACAAACTTTAAAACATAAACTTTAATATTTTACAAATAATCCTTTGCATTTTTCTAGTAAATAATTGATAAATACTAGAAAATTAACAAAGGAAAGAAAAAAGTGGGATACATAGAAATTCATGCAATTTAACTGGAAGTTAACAGAGTTAAGTAAGGAACTTTACATGGTTAACTTCCTGGAAAAGGGGATGGTATCTGGGTAAAGAAAATGAGAAAAACTCACCAAAAATTCCGGACGATGCTGGCACGTGGCTGATGGCGGACTAAATGGATGAAGACTCGACAAGTGTCGCTGGAGTTGCGCGCGACGCTGGAGGTGGTGGAACGCAGAACGCCGGGCGTTGATAGGCTGAGAATATTCTTGAAGTGACGCTCTCCGCTGGAGGTGGTGGAAAACAGAACGCCAGGCGTTAATTGGCTGACATTACTGTACTGGAAGTGGCGCGCAACCGATTTTAATTTGAATTCGCCAATAATTATAATTATTCTTTTTAATAATTCATGGAGAATTCTTCATTGTGATTTATTATTTTCTATTTTAACAACCACTATTAATAATATAATAAGTAATAATAATCAATTAATTGTATGTTTATAATAATTTATTGGAAATAATTGTTAGGTTAAATAATAAATTATTAATTTAATATAAAACTGTAACTATTTTGAATTTTTAGAAACAAATATCATATTCATAATTCAGTGATCCTAAAAATACAAGAGTAATAACTTTTGAGCAATTCCATCAAAACTTTTTTTATGGGTAATTAATGAATTAATTATCAATATAGGCTATATTTACATGGTTTAATTTAATTGCATTATATAGAAAGTTATTCATATGTGTTTAATTTATGTTGTAAATAAATATTGTACTTTTATTGTTTAGTTTAATATTTAGATTTTAAATAATATTTTTAATACTAGGGTAAGTCCGGGGGAGTTGGCCATAGTTTTTTAAAGGTCTGTAAAAATAAAAAGAAAGTGATTTAAGTATTAACTTTTATTGATAATTAAACATTGAACATTTAACTTACAAAAAATGATAGAAATGAGAAATTTTTTAAATGCAAACAATCTTAAAATTAATATTTTTTAAAAAACGCGTTTGGCTATCTCTCCCGGAATGTACGGGGGAGATGGCCATAGGCGTATGGGAGAGATGGCCAATACTTTAAAATCATTTTTTAGCTTTTCGCTTTATCAAAATTTTTAATTTAAAGGGATTAAAGTCTTTTTTTCTTGTTCTGACTACATTTTGAACATTTATGATTAAATTCAGTGCAATTTTCATAAGCGCTGTCTGTTTGTCTGTCTCACCAACACAACAAGGCTACAAGGAAATTTTTTGAGATATCAGAGTGGTTTCTAATTTGTTTTTGTGTCCTGAACATGATTCCGGGTTCTAAAATTACGTCGTCAGGATTTTGAATAAAGTGGGGGTAAAGTCTCCAAAAACCGTGTTTTTGAGTGTTTTCAGTATTTTTTTTTCCTTAACCTGACGTGATAGAGACTTTTATAAAGGCTTAAATTAAAGCGCATGTCTTACACTTTAAGACACATACGTATGCGCAAGATAAAAAAAAATTGAAAATGTGAAAAAAATTAGGTTTAAGTAACTTAAAAAGATTTTTGGGGTCATTACCCCCATTTTATCAACATTTCAAAAAATTTTTTATTTTGCGCATATGGGTCTTAAAATGTACGTTTTAAACTTCAATTTAAGCCTAGATAATAGAAGTCTCTATCACGTCAGGTTAAGGAGAAAAAAATACTGAAAACATTCAAAAACATGGTTTTTGAAGAGTTTACCCCCACTATTCTCAAAATCCTGACTTCATACGCAATTTTAGAACCCCGGATCGTGTTCAGCACACAAAAATACATTGAAAACCACTCTGCTATATATATATATATATATATATATATATAAAAGTGTTATTTTGTAGACCTGTGTTATGATTGTTTATAAACGTTTTTAAGATTTAATTACACAATAGTGATTATTTTATTTAATCATATTTAAATTTGAAAATCTTTGTTGGAGTGTCTTGTTGTGATATATGTCATAAAAAATGTCATTTGCCACAGAATTAATGTTTTTTTTTAGCGAACACACGAATCTCAAGGGAGCCAATAACTTAAACAGTATGGCCATCTCACCTCGAAAAAACATGGCCATCTCTCCTAATGTCAGGAGACAAACTGACACAACTAAAATTTAAATAAATAAAATTTTTGAATAAATATAAATTTATGACAAAGCTTGGGTCATGTACTTTACAGAAAAAAATAAAATTCAAAATTATTCTATAAAATAACATAACACCAGTGAGAAACGTAAACTCATCACTTTTTTTCTGAACTAGTCAAAATAACAAATCAGGTTTTTAAATACTTTTTCAATATTTTTCGTGAAATTTTTTCTTTTAATTGTGTTTTGCCACAAAACAAAGCGAACTAATCTTTAATAAGCGATACCTAGCAGCAAATACTATAAAATATTAGAATTGGCCATCTCTCCCGTATGGCCTACTCCCCCGGAGTTACCCTATATACAAATATTAAAAATATTATGTTATATGTACAACATTTTATTGTTTTTAAACAAAGTACAAACAATAACTGTATTACAAAACCTTATATTTAAAAACTAATATTTAATAACTTACGTTAGTAGCATATAAATATGATTGAATTTTTCTGTAAACTACGTTATAAAGAACATGTTTACATTATAGAGGCATTCTCTGAAACAAAGCAACTTAATCCCTTGACAGTTGATGGCCCATATTATGTCCAAGAAAAATCGTGCCACCTTTGTGATTTTGAATTTTGTTTCCAGAGTTGCTGAATCCGAATTTGAGGTCAGACTTAAAAAATTCAAAATGGCGGACAAAATATGGCGTCCAAAAAATTTAAAAATTGACTAGATTTGCATAAAAATGGTTCCCCTAGGGTTTTTGGGGTCGCTAAATCCAAATTTGAGGTCAGATTTAAAAAATTCAAAATGGCGGAACCAATATGGCGAAAAAATTTAAAGTTGATTCGATTTGTTCAAAATTCGGAAGTCGGGGGTTTTACGGGTCGCTGAATCCAAATCTGGGATCAGATTTGAAAAATTCAGAATGGCGGACCTAGTATGGCGACGCAATATGATAGAAAATTTTTAAAATTATTCGAATCGTTCAAAATTTTGTACTTGGAGGTTTTTGGGGTCGCTGAATCCAAATTTGAGGTCAGAATAAAAAAATTAAAAACGGCGGACCCCAAAAAGTTTGGATTCAGCGACCTAAAAAAAACCCCAAGTACCGAATTTTAAAAATCCTATAAGAATCACCGTCGTTTATTCTTGTAGCAAAAAATAACCTAAATTTTGTCAACCAGTGTTATTTAAAATTTCGTTTTTTTTTCTTTTGAAAAATTAGTCAATAAGTTTTTAATTTTCTGAAAATTGTACAAAACTGAAACTTTTAAAATTTGGTGAAATCAAGTTACATTACTGCTTTAATTATAATTTAATTATTGACCTTTTATTTTTGTTTACTTGTGTTTTAAAAATAAAAAAAAAAACATTTCCAGTACTTTGTACGTAATTAAAAATAAAAAATTTTTTTTTGTTGAAATCAATGAAAGGTGAATAAAGCATTAAAATGTGTAAAATTTCTCATTACAACAAGAAAAAAAAATAAAGATAAATATAAGTTCTGAAAGTAAAAACGA